TTCCCTTTATGTAGATGAATAGGGTTAGATACACGACCAGCTGCTATAACATTAGAAGTGGGTGCAGAATACATAGTCTCAATCAAGTGTGGAAAAGGGCTGGAGAAACCCAATTTTTGGAGAACCATTTGTAGCCAGGTAAAGTTAACGTTGTCAAAAGCCTTTTCGGCATCTAGGGAGATTATGGCTATATCTTTACTGGGATTGTGTTTGGCATATTCTAAAATAGCCAGGACCTTACGAATGTTGGACACCACAGACCGTCCCTGGGTAAAACCTGCTTGAGATGAATGTATAAGAGAGGGCATTATGGAGGCCAATCTATTTGCTATTATCTTAGACAGAATTTTAGCGTCTAGGTTTAGCAAGGATATTAAACGATAGGAGCCCAGGTCAGAGGGGTCTTTGCCCTTTTTCGCTATCAGTTTTATATGTGCTTGGAAGCCGGTGGGCAGGTAATCTCCTCCTGTTTGTGTGTTATGAAATACAGATAATTGCCTAATCTGCTCACTTTTAGGCGATCTCTGAAAACCTATCTCTTCAGGGAAGCCTATCCTGCCCTCAGATAATAATGGAATCTTCTACTCCTTCTACCAGTCCATCCCCCACAGTTACTACCTTTTGTAACACCAGCCCCTCCCTCCTAGATTGTAAGCTCCAAGGAGCAGGGCCCTCCTAACCCTCTTGTATTGAACTGTATTGTTGCTGTATTGTCTCCCCTTATATTGTAAAGCGCTCAGCAAACTGTTGGCACCATAAATCCTGTATAATAATAGATTCAAAAGGCGTTTTACGCCACATACTCTAATTTTTTCAGGAGTGTCTCAATGTTGATCAGCAAATCACTGCCCTGCTTAGTGGATGCTGTCCCATGCTGATCCTATGGGCAAATTTGTTCTACTGGTACGTCGGATATGGGGTCATAAATATGTGATCGTGTCAGTGTATGTGCCATCCTCCTTCTCCGATGTACTGCTATATACTATTTTGGATAAGGTTTCCTCATTTTGTCCTGTGAAACTTCTAATCATCTTATACCCAGTACTAGACAGGCCCTCTACCTCATGATCTTCCTTGGGAGAGCTAGGAGTTTGGGTGCAGGCTGCAGACCTCACTGAAATATGGAGGTGGAAACACCCCCTTAATAGAATCTATAAGACAGCTTCCCGTATAGACCTTGCATTTGCGAGTCCCTATTTGCTAACCGATGTCTTAATGCCTGAGTACCTTCCTAGTGGCTTATCCAATCACTCTCCCTTAGCTGTGACTATTAGATCTTGGGAGACACGTAATGCCTCATTGTGGAGATTGAGCCCACAATGGATAACACACTCTAAGATCAAAGATGAGGTTCTTACTGCCATTCAAACCTACTGGCAGACTAATAAGGGATCGCCCCCCCCCCCCCCGGTTTGGGATGCATTTAAGGCATATGTTAGAGGACAATATGTCTCTCTCATAGCTGCCTTGCGCAAAGAGCAAGCCTCTGAGGTCTCAGCTCTGCAGCAGGATGTAGAGGACAGGACTCAATCCTTTGCAGTCTGAAACACACCAGGAGACTTTGATCTCCTTATGGTGGCAAAGTGGGACCTGCAACTTCACATAGCGGAGGCCACCATGCCAGTCTTGAAAGATAATAAACAGGTCTTCTTCAAACAGGGGGATAGGAATGGTAAGCTTCTAGTTATGCTCACACAAAATGACAGGCCTCTTACTCCCATCTCCGAAACATGCACGTCAGAGGTTACCATGTTCACCTCTACTGATAAGATCTTAGAGTAGTTTAGTAACTACTACTACAACAGTTATATGCTTCTTCACTTCCCTCTGATTTTGACATTTCACACCTTCTGGATTTATTAGATCCCTTAGCTCTGGGTAGGTTGTCGGATCGGGAAAGAAAGAACCTGGTGCGCCCCTTTACCATTAATAAGGTGCTCGCTGTTATTATGTCCTTCCCTTCTGGAAAGGCTCCGGGTCCTTACGGTATCCCCCATGGATTTTTATAAGGCTCATAGTGACCTCATAGCCCTTTGGCTGGCATGTTTGTATTCTCAATGCCTAGAATCCAAGTCTTTTCCTCCCTCTATTCACTCTGCGTATATCACACTGATTCATAAACGTCCGAAGGACCCCAAATTGTGCGCCTCTTATAGACCTTTGCTCTCTTAAAAAATTGTGATCTTAAAATACTTACTAAACTGCAAAATACCAGACTAACCAGAGTTACTAGCTCCCTAATAGACTCAGATCAGACAGGCTTTATGCCCCACAGATCCACGGACATTAATATTAGCAGACTCTTCACAAACATACATGCACAGCATCTCCATACTGGGACCAGGGTGGTAGCCTCATTTGATATTGAAAAGGCGTTTAATACGGTGGAGTGGCCTTACTTATGGGAAGTGTTACATAAAATGGGATTGCCTACTCGTTTCATCCTATTGCTTTCATTAGGTTGGGGGGGGGGTAGTCTCTCAGCTCCTTTCCAGCTGTCCCGTGGTACTAGGCAGGGCTGCCATCTTTCCCCTACCCTCTTCACTTTGGCAGTTGAGCCTATTGCGGATGCCCTTCGGGTGTCTCCTAAAGTTCGGGGGGGAAGGCTTGTGCGGGTGGGGTGGGTTGAGGAATGGGTGGCCCTATATGCTGATGACATGTTACTATTTTTGCATGATACGGCTCCCTCCCTAGAGGGAGCCCTTCAAATTCTCAATACCTTCTCTGTTGTTACTGGCCTTCAGGTCATCTGGCATAAATCAATACTGTTCCCTATTGATGATGGTGTCCTGACACAGGCCCCAAGGGATCTCCCCACACTACAATGGGTCACTACCTTTCGTTATCTAGTGGTTGTTGTTTTCTCATTCTGCTACTGCTTATGTTTCCTTAAATCTAATGCCCATTATGCAAGAAATTAAGGCTAAGCTGAAGGCATGGGGCACTTGTCATTGTCTTTATTGGGCCACATAAATTTGGTCAAAATTAAATGATTAAATCCCCAAATTTACGTATCTTTTTTGCCACTCCCCTCAATGAATCCCCAAATCTTTTTTTGTTCAACTAAATGGTTATTCTTCTCCTTCCTTTGGGGCCCACAAACTCCATGTTATAAGCTGACTACCATTTCTACATGGGGGGTTGGCTCTACCAGACTGCCATAAGTATTATTTATCCACGCAACTGGTTACAGCGCATTGGTGGCTCCAACCTGACATCACTAATGCTAGTACTATGCTGGAGTCTATAGCTCTAGGTTGCCTAGAGGCCCTGCAATGCATACTTTTTTGTGGCCCTTAATGCTCTGTACCCTCTCACCCCCTCTATGGTAACAACAATTAGGGCCTGGAATTTAGGGCTTCAATAGAAACGTGTGACACTTTAACATTATAGCCTCACACACCCCTCTGGAATAACCCCTCTTTACATCACTCACCCTGCGCTCGGCCTATAATGTCCCTCTACAATACATATTTAGACATATACAACTTGAACACACCTTCAGCAGCCAATATTCCCATAGACCTATTCAGCTGAAATGTTCAGACCTGGAAGACCTTTTTTGCTCTGATCCCCTCTTAGACAAAAGTATCCCAGATATGGATGATGAGAACTAGGCGGACATGTGAGATGTTGCTTTCAAACAATTAGTCTCACTTAGGGACTGATAGAGTAAGAAGTATCCAACACAGTGACAACTTTGGGGATGTAAAAAAGACTCCCAAGTGCCATGTTCTACCACAACTAATGTAGTTCAACCAAAGAAAAAAGAGGCCAGAATTGGGACTTTAGAGGCACTACAACAATATTCATTAAAATTATTTCTTTATTTGAATATACACCATTACACAGCATAGAAATTATCTGCTAAGAATGTAAGACCCCCATTTGGGGTGATGCATTCTATGCAGTTACAAAACTCATAGATACATAAAATTATTTTGAACCATACAAATGTATCGTGTCCCTGTAAGGGTATCAAGGAACATAAGTCAGATGTCAATGACCATAGTCACTCAACATGTTTCGCAAGAATATCGCTTCTTCAGTAGTTACTACATGAAAGAAAATTAGATATAAATATAACATAATATAACATATTATATGGTCAATCTTTCCTCATTATACATACAGTATCCTGTATATACCTTAAAACATAGGCGATGGTGCAGAAATTGTGTGTGTGTGTGTGTGTGTGTGTGGGGGGGGGTGTATGTGAGGCATCCACGTCTCAGGCAAGTTAGCAGGGGGATCCTAAAAGGATATATCACATTCTAGGTAGTCCTAAGAAGGACCTCATGGTGTATAAAAGGTATACAGTCATTAGAAGCTGACAAAAGCCTTTCCAGATGTAAATAGGGAATGTAGTGATGGTATAAAATACTGTACTAACCTTCCATTCAGGGGAACTATAATAGTATCATCAACTTCAGAGCCACAAGGCTACTTAAAGAATATTCAATGATGTGGACTGTATGGAGAGGGTATAGTCAAGTCTCCAATTGGATCCACAAAGGAAAGTACATCAATAATTACTAAGCAGTATTTGTAGTGTCTGGAAAGGTCCAAAAAGGGATAATTAGATAAGATATCAGGTATTCCAACATTATGTTGTCGCCAACTAGTATAAAAGCCAATTCAGTCTCTAGGGGACAGAGCTGCATGACGGAATAAGTACTAACCTTATTATGTGTAGATGGAAGGGGAGGAGGGTAAGCCAGTAAGGGAAATTCCATTAATATCGCAATATTAGTGTGATGTTTGGAATATTAGGGTGATCCATCAAGTTCTTGTCTAAAAACAAAACGACTACAAAGGTCCAAGATTGTATAAAGTATAGCCTAAACATATGTTCGCCTTGGCTAAATATAAAGAGATTATCTTAATATATTCAGCTATACCTGTGTCATATAGCGAGACGAACCGACTGAGGGACTTACTTAGTCAGTCAGGGACTGGCTCATACAATTCAATATCCTCCATAGGGCCTACTTCATGCCACACAGGATACACTGTTCGCAGGGCTTGAAATTTCCACTCACCTGCTCGCCAATGGCGAGTGGAAATTATGGTGGGGGCGAGTGTGTCCCCCAGGGCCATCTTGCTGAGCAGGCTCGGAGCTCAGGCCGGATCTGTCATTGGCACTGGGAGCCGTCAGACTGCTCAATAGTTGAGCGCAGTGAAAGCAAACAAGGAGTGTGTGCTGTGCTCTCTGCCTCCCCCTAAAGTGCAGTACCCAGATCTGTGAGTGAACAACAAAGTACTGCAACTTTTTCTGGGGGGGGGGTGTGTGTGTGTGTACGTGTACATGTGTCTGTTTGTGTGTGTCTGTGTATGCATGTACATGTGTGTATCTGTACATGCGTCTGCGTGTAAATACATGTATGTGTGTGTGTGTACATGTGTCTGTGTGTGCATGTACATATGTGTGTGTTTGTGTGTATGTATGTACATGTGTCTGTGTGTACGCGTCTGTGTATGTATGTACATGTGTCTGTGTATGTATGTACATGTGTCTGTGCGTGTGTATTTCTGTGTATGTATATGTATCTGTGTGCATGCGTGTCTGTACGTGCCTGTGTGTGTATATACATGTGTCTGTATGTGTGTGTGTACATGTGTCTCTGTGTGTGTGTGTGTACATGTTTCTGTGTGTGTATGTGTGTTTGTGTGTGTATGTACGTCTGTGTGTGTGTACAGGTGTCTCTGTTTGTGTGTGTTTGTTGGTGGCGAGTAACTCTAAGGCCTGGCTAGTAGCTCAGGACTTGAAATTTTAAGCCCTGCTGTTCGGATCCTAATGTTCCTGCAAAGTGCTGGCTCTGTGATTGGGCTGACGGTGATTTTTCCCACATTTTCTGGACATACCCAGCGATTCCAGTTGTTTTGGGAATCTGTAGCCGGCACCATTAACACACAAGACTCCCTCAAGAGTTGGTTCTGGCCAGCTCAGTGGATTGCTTTAAAAAAGGCCTGGATTCTTTCTTGGATACACAGAATATAACTGGTTACTAACATTTATAGGTAAAGTTGATCCAGGGAATATCCGATTGCCTCTCGAGGGATCGAGAAGGAATGTTTTCCCCTGCTGGAGCAAATTGGATCAAGCTTTGCTGTTTTTTTTGCCTTCCGATCGCGGCGTCAGACCCCAACCCTTCTCACCAAGCTCGTGACCAAAGGACTAGCCAATCTAAAACCGCGCAGTCACGTGCGTAACAATGACATGCCCAGCTGCACCCTGCAGAAAGCTTTTCCAGCTAATGGACCACAATCTGTGTATCTGCAACCTGGGAGCGATTGTTACTGGGTCAGGTTAATCACGCAATTAACCCTTCACACTGTCACCACCTCCTTTTTGTACAGAGAAAGCGGAAACTCGGCAATATCAGCAATAACACTATGATGTTGAATAATCGTCTGTATACCACTGTCATCGCAGGCAGGGATATATAGAGGTTTAAAACACACAGTAGCGCTCTTCAGAGGCAGGGATTCTTAGTTTGCATTAAAGAGCTTTAGAAAAGTTCAACACTTTCAGAAAGTAAAATTTATTATAATAGATCAAAAGGGTGCAATAAAAATATTTACAGAAAAAGATGTAGCCAATATATATATATATATATATATATATATATATATATATAAAGAGAGCAATAACACAGCATAGAGATAACAGAAAGGAATTTAGAGAGATAAAGTACTTGCCAAGAGTCCTGGTTTAAGCAGCGTTCAAGTTTCAGAACAAAAGGTTTCCGATGTTAAAAGGGAGAATCTTCAACTTAGCTCAACTCAGCTTAGCTTAACTCTCTGCTCCAAGCATAACAGCTTTTCTAGGAACTCAGCAGGGTGTCTCCTTGAAGCAGAGAACCAATTGCCTCATTTGGGGAGGAGGTGTAGGTGGAGACCCCAGCTAGAACAAAAATCCCTCACAGCTTATATCATGACCCATAACTTTACCCTCGGTGCGTTTAGCAGCCTTGCCACTAGTAGATTAATATGCAGACGCATCTGCTGAACGTCTAGAAATATGACATACCTGCTGTGACGGTTAAGGAGATATCATTTTTTGCTCTCCTGTAGATGTCAGCTAGGGGGTGTAATATATCAGGCGACTTGTATTAAAGTGACCGATCTGAATTTATGTCTGGTTTTTATGTAAGTCTTTCATAATCCAAGATATGAAATCATAGGAGAAAATAAATGTTGAATGTGATGTCTGGTTTACGGTTTATCTGGAATGTCTTTGAGCTCAGTGAACGACTTGGTTTGTGGCTTTATGATATCCCAGATTGAGAAACTAATAGACATATGGGCACCAGCTAGGATGGGATTTTATAGCTCTGGAGCTCTCCCGCTGAGCCTGATTGCCTGTGACCTCTGCATTATACAGACCACATGTCACTCAACAGAGAGGGAGGGGGGATGAGGGGAGCTGATTTGGGAGTAGAAAATGATACAAGATGGAGGCCTTTGCCAAAATGGAGGTCGCATCCATCTCTGTGTGCACGATTGCTACACTCTGGATCAACTGTTGGTGTAGGATTATAATTTTTTCTTTTTCTTTTTTTTTTTTATGGTTGAACTGGATGGACTTTTGTCTTTTTTCAGCCAGACTAATTATGTAGCTAACTATGTAACTATTTAACTTATGCAGGTCCCCATCACTCCATCTCCGAGGATCTGTCTTCTTGGCCTCAATGAAGGCCTGGTGCCCACGAACACGGATAAGACACTATTGGGACTACTGCTTATTTATACCAGGAAGGCGATTAAACTTCATTGGAAGAAACCTATGACACCTACATATGGATACTGGAAACAGCTGGTGAACTCACAATTGCCACTCTACAAAACAACCTATGAAAATAGAGGTTGCCCTCGAAAGTTTGAAAGAATATGGGCCAAATGGTTGGGGGACATCTCCATCGCTTAATTTCCCTATTTTGATGTGACCAGGGTGGGGACTGGGGTTGAGCGTCTTTGCTTATTCTAAATAGTATTGTGTTTATAGAGGGGCCTGATACTATCTATTTTGACTATTTACCACTGCCTGGACTAGAGACTTCACGTGATTGGTGACCCCCCTCTGAAGACGTGCTTGAGCACGATACGCATCAGGAGGAGCCACATCACGCCGTGACTTCACGCCGTCGGAGCAACATGGAGCTCCGGTGGCCATCTTTTGAAATCGGACGGTTAGTCCTGTGTGATCACTGATACTCCTTTTATTCCTTTGATGCATCTTATCTAATATGTCATAATAAAATATACCATTACCTACTACACTATGGGCATATCCTTGTTCCTACCCCCTGGGGGAGCTCTTTAAATTTGCAGATAAATTGCCTCAGGATGGATCATTACATCTATAGAGGAAATCTCCCTACCCAGGGAGCAATACCAGTTTAACCCCTTAAAGGGAAACCCCGGTGGACGTGGATCACCTGTAAAGCCCTAAGGATCCTGTCTGAGGACCCACCATCCCTTAGAGGGAAGACCTTCCAGTTCCTGACCCCCCTTTTTTTAAATGACATCTGGATTATTAATATAAGGCGCATTTTATATGTGCGTCCGGTGAGTGCGCATTACTTACACCATTATTGCACAGACACCGGGTTCAGATTTACCAGAGCACAAGAGTCACCTTTGAACTGTCCTACTCACTATTTGAACTGTTCTAATTTTATTTCATTCTTATTTATATTGGATACAATTTTTATTTATTGATTGATTGGTACATAATTTTTTTAGCGCTGCACCTTCCTGTATACAACTTATGATATAAGGTGTTACTGGTTAACTTTTTGTGCATAGCGGCTTTCCATATACTGTATATTTTAGGGCGCTCACTATTCTTTTTATGCATTTCTAGATACCTAAATGCATTGAGTTGTTGCCATGTGATTGGCTGATTAGCAATGTGTGTTATCATGCAATTGAACAGGAGTACCTAATAAAGTGGCCGGTGAGTATATGTTCACTAGGCTATAGCAGCATATAATGGGGTTCTATGCAGCTAAATTAGAGTAAAACTGGTAGCCCACAAAATCAGCAATACGTAATGGCATTCAGAAACAGTAACCGCAATAATACTCAACATTGTAATAACTCATCTGTAAACAGAAGGCTATAACCACTTTAGAGTGCACTCTACGTGAATGTCAGCAATGACTTGCAAGACGCCCTAAAGAACCTCTTACTATGGACAATAGGCAAAGGTTTTTGTGAAGCTGCCAGTGAGCAGTCTTTAGCCTTGTTCCTCACCCATCTAGCTTTAGGGTGGTGCACATGAGTACAGTCCCAGTAAAATCTGCATGCAGTAACTAATGCTGCTAGTTAGATGGCCAGTCTCTATGTGCTCAGTCTCTGCTAGCAGCAACAGGTTAATGGCAGCAGTGTCCCTTCACCATTCCCAGAGATACAGCAACAGGGGTCTCACTGTTCAGATTTAAGCTCTTCTGGATATGCCTGAAGAAACTCTGGTCCTCAGCACACGGCTGCAGGTCTCCTTAGAGTGAAGAAATCTGCCTGTGAAAAATCAATTGCATTAGGCTTGCACTGGGACTTGATTGATGTTTCCTTTGCACTACATCTCCCATGACTCAGTGCTTCCCACCATCAAGTCTCTTGAGTTCCTCCTTGTCAGCTCCCCTCTGGTGGATGGAGGCATGGTAGTGTTAAAACATTTAGCTGGACTTCATTGGGAGACATAGAAAGGATTGCAGAACAGTGTCCTAAATCACTTTCTGTCTTTGACCCAACCCCTATTTAGGGTGGAACATGTAATATATTCCAGCTACTGCCCTCTTTCTCACCAAATCACCACTCCCTCTGATAGCAGGCAGGGTTCTTCTCCCCGAGCCAATGTCACTTTTTAAAAACAGTGCGGCTGTGCAGGGCTCTACCACAAATTCCTGTGAATAAGATAAACATACCATCTGCCATCTGTTCATTTATTATTTTGTTTGTAAATGTGAACTTAGCCTTTAACAGATGCCCTAACCCTGAAGAATCAACACAATGCCACCTACAGGACAGAAGAATGCCTGCACCTGTATATACAAGGGTGACATTGGCAATGGCAGCAATAACCCTCTTCCATAAAAAAAAAAAAAAAAGCCTCTCACAGGGTAAAGCCATAAAGAACATTATCAATCACAGAATAAAGCCTTGCAGAATGTCATTAGTCACAAGGAAAACGCAGAACCTGCAGGACTCACATGTTAAAGACACAAAGAATGCCAAATGTCTCAGGATACAGCCTTGCAGAACACCATTAGTCATATGATACATTTTTTGTTGAGCAAAGTGATACCTATAAAAATCCCCTGTATCTACTTTACAAACTTTTTTTTATATAATTCCTGTGCATGTGGCACGCCAAGTCAAAACTGATCATGTAGATTTGCAGAATACCATCAGTCACAGGGTAAAGCCTTGCAGAACATCATCAATCATAGGGGTAAAGCCTTGCAGAATGCAATCGGTCATAGGGTAAAGCCTTGCAGAATCAATCATAGGGGTAAAGCCTCAGAATTCGGTCATAGGG